TTGGTCTCGTTACCAAGATTGGACTTACACGAGATAGCACAAATAAAATGTACATAATAATGTTAAATTGAGCGATTTCGGAGAAGGACGAGATGGCATGCATGCTTGTTTTCAGTGGTCTCTGCTTGCTTTACAGTACCCTGTGAGATGTAACAAAACTGCAGTATTCAAAGCGTGACTTGGAGTGTGGAACGAGAAAGGGCATGGTTCAGGTGTTCCTCAGAGCTGGGTGCTGGTTCTGGATTCTGTTCAGAGTCCAGCTTCTCACAGAGCCATACCTGGTTTCATTGAGCCAGGGTCCTAGCTTCCATGAATTTCCTGTACTGAGGCCTTACCTGGGAGCTATGCCTGCTTTTCTTCCACTCTCCCGCTGGCAGAGAGAGAGCCTTTCCCAGTTGCTGTTGCTGTGACTTTGATGTTGAAATGATGATGCGATTCCTTGTGGTTCCTCATTGCTCCCATTCCCCATCAACTCTCTCCCCTCACTCCTTGCTTTCCAACCCAGGACCTGGGGTCCCCGACAATCACCCAGACCCCTGGGGTCCGTGACCTGCACCGTAGGAACGACTGTCTTGAGGAGTGGGTGGAATGTGCCCCTGACTAGTTTGCCATGCAGGAATACAGAACACATTTTTTGCTAGAAATTTTTAAAAGTTACTATTATAAAATATGTACAGCAAGTAATAGGGGATAATTCTATACAACCCCATATACCTACCAGCCAGCTTTATCAAAGCTTAATATTTGCTACATTCTCTAGATACATTAAAACATCTCATATTAAATTTATTAAAGCCACAATTCAAAACCTCAATTCTTCATTTATACTTTTAATACTATTATTCTCTGCTGGTAATTTTTAAAACAATAAAATATTACAGATCCAGCATACTGCTCCCTGCACCCACCCCTCATTTTCTCTGCCAGAGATGACTACAATTCTGAATTTTCTATTTATCACTTACAAGAAGAAATATTATTTGTTTCAATATCTTTCAATATTATTCTTTTGCATGTGTGTGACCTGGCTTAAGAACCCAGTTACCATATTTTATTTTGTTGCTATGGTGGTGGTGGAGGATACAGGTCTAATGATAATGTAGCTATAGTATATTGACTGCTTCCATGTCCTAGGTTGAGTTACTAAGTGTGTTATCTCCTTTAATCTTATCTGCCAGTTTGTAAGGTATTATCCCCCTTTTAGAGATGGGAATATTGGGGGCTTGGAAATTAAGTTGCTCAACTGCATGTGACTGTAAAAACTGGGGTGCAGACTGGGCATGGTGGCTCACACCTGTAATCCCAGCACGTTGGGAGGCCAAGGCGGGCATATGGCTTCAGGCCAGGAGTTTAAGACCAGCCTGGCCAACATGGTGAAACTCCATCTCTACTAAAAACAAAAATTAACTGGGCATGGTGATGCACTCCTGTAATCCTAGCTACTCGGGAGGCTGAGGCAGGAGGATCACTTGAACCTGGGAGGTGGAGGTTGCAGTGAGCCGAGATTGTGCCATTGCACTCTAGCCTGAGTGACAGAGTGAGACCCTGTCTCAAAAACAAACAAAAAAACTGTATTGCAGACCCATTTGTGCCTTATTCTAAGCCTGTAGTTTGAATCACTCTGCTCCCATCTTTCCAGGTACTTTTCTCTCTCTATATAATATGTATTATTTTTGTATAAATATAGAATAATTCTATCTTAATTTATAACTTGTTTTCCACCAAGCGTATGTGATGAATATTTCCTGGGGTACATTGGGCTTTTGAGTCAGAATCCTGATTTTTGTCCATTTGGGTAGCTATATCCCCTTGCAGAGTTATGTACCTCTATGGGTTTAAACTGGAGGTGATAATAACTATTACATACAATTATTAGGATGTTGCAGTGCCTGATATATAATAAGGCCTCAATATATTTTAGCTATTATGTTATACTTATGAAGGAAATTTAAGAAAATTATCTGTTCAGTAGTTTTCTTCCTTTTGAAACTTGATCAAGTATTGTTATAATGGTATAGTTTCACTGCATTTCAGTCAGCAAACAATATTGAACATTTACTAAGCGCCAGGGCCTATAGCAGGTACTGGGGATACAGAAAAGAATAAACTTATTTCCTCACATCAGGGGAATTACAGAGACAGTCTAATAATTATGTTCTGTTTTATATTATGATTATGATTATGATTATTTTATTTGTTGAGATAGGGTCTCATTCTGTCACGCAGGCCTGGAGTGCAGTGGTATAAACTTGACACACTGCAACCTCCACCTCATAGGCTCAAGCGGTCCTCCCTTCTCAGCCTCCTGAGTAGCTGGAACAACACCTGGCTAATTTTTGTTTTTATTTTTTTGTAGAGACAGGGCCTCACTATGTTGCCCAGGTTGGTCTTGAACCCTTAGGTTCAAGGGATCCACCCACTTTGGCCTCCCAAGGTGTTGCTATTACAGGCATGAGCCACTGCACCCAGCCAAATAATTAATTTCTACTAAAGGAAAAAAAGATTTGTCAAATTCTTCTGAATAAAAGTACTTTGCCTTTAATTTTTTTCTGCTACTACATTAAATTCTCCAAGTTTTTTTTTTTTTTAATCTACCCTCAGTTTTCTTTAAAATGAAGCATATGGAAGCAGAGCAACAGTGAGGCTATAGTGGGTTCTCTCCCTCATATAAACTTTGACATCCTGCAGCTTCTCTACCTTTTATCATACCTTGACATGACATGAACAAAGCATGAATAAAGAAAATCCAAATAAAATCCAAATAAATAAAAATAAAACGTAGAAAATGACATAGGAGGGAGAAAAAATTGATTCAGATTATTAGAGGTTTATATATTGTTTACAAGTGTGTCCTTCAAATACTGAGTGATTTCTGTATTAAACCATTTATTCCTGTAATATTAATGCAGCATTCCTAAATGCAGTCTATAGTTTTTCTGCTCTTCCTCATTAATTACCTGCTCTGGGGCCTACAGGGGACCTATTTCTCAAAGCCATTCTTGGTTCAGCTTTTAGTTCACATTTCAAAATAAGGCAAGGAAAAGATTAAAATTCTAGCCTTCAAATGCAACATACATTGCACAAAAAATATGTCTGAATGTTTTCAAGATGGTGATCAGAACCACAGTGGGTAATTTTGTTTGAATTTTCAATAATAGTGTTTGTTTAACTTAATTGACATTTGCTACATTTATTTGCTTGGAAAAGGTCAATCTATTATGTGGGGTTGGCAGGAAGCATGTGACAAAAATCAGTATTACTTTTTTTTGTAAGAAAATGTAGGTTGTAGAAAGACAGTCTAAAGGAAAAATCACTAAAGCCTTGATAGTAATTTTCTCTGGTGTGATGATAGGTAATTTTTCTTCCTTTGTATATATGTGCATTTTCTTCTTGTGAATGAAAAACCCATCCCAAATAAAAAAAAAAAATACTTTTCATTTTTACTACTGTTATGGCTAAATAGTTAACATTTACTGAGTGCTGTACTTACAAAATTCTCTAATCCCCTCAATAACTGTAGATAGTTAAGTCTATTGCTCCCATTTTAGAGATAGAAAAACCAAATCCAAGAGAGACTAACTTTCCCACTGTCATTCAGCCGCAGAGCAGGATTTCAAAAGGAGATCTTATTTTTCTCCAGAGTCTGGGCTTTCACTCTATAATAAAAGAGTAAAACAATTTTGGCAATTTTTTTCCTCTAAAACTAAAATATACATTTTGAAAGCACTTGGCTTAAATAGAGTAATGGACCTCTTAACATGTACAATTGATAGGAGATGCCCCAGCTCCTGTACTTTGACACTGCTGGTAGTTAGCATGTGCAGTAATGGTAAACTAGTTGATATACTGCAATTGTTATTAACTAGTGCAATATGCTTGTGAGATGCATGCCTGAGGGAAGAATGAGGAACAGATGTCACCTGTGCTGCAGGGCTACCAGCTATGCCTGCTGCAATCCCTCATGATTCTGAAGAGGAATGAGGCTGGAGTCCTCACACATGTGGCCCTCAAATGAGATTCTCTGTGCGGTCTGCCCTCTTTTCATTGTCTATTTCTTTTTTTTTTTTTTTCGGGGGTGCGGGGGGGATGAAATGTCTACTTGTCGCTTCATCATTTAGTAAATATTTATTGAGCAGCTATTATGGTCATTGTGCTAGAATTAGAGCAAAGCAGATGAAAATCAAACACAGTCTCTGCTTTTACTGACCTTTATTGCTATGTGAATATTCATGCCCATCCTAACATTCCTGAAGTCAGAAACCATTTCTTGTGTGTTAATATTAGTCAAGTCCATGGATACCGAGGAAGTAACATAGTGTGAATTGGTTCGGCTGTTTGACTTTTAAAAACATATATGTCTATATTAGAGTTCAAGGTTGATGGAAATTGCTCAGTGAACCTAGACTGACATTGATGTCCTGATTTATGCAAATGGATATGATTATGTATCCCACAGACACAGTTGGATGGCCACCTACACTTCAGAGAAAAAGTGGGTTGGGGGAGAGGCACCAGCCTCATTTCATCTTGAAAGAATTCTGTTTCCTTTTACTGGTCATGATTTCCACTTTGTGGATTATTTTCTAACTGAGTCCTAGATCACTTTCCATGTTAGATTTTTTTCAAAGAACACTTATAAATGCACACAGTTACTTCTGTGATGCTGAGAATGCTTTGTGTACTTATATACATCCTCAACCCATTCCCTTAGTATAGGCAGATGGAAAAAAAAAAACAAAAAACACCTCATCTTACTTTGATGAGGCCACACTTATGCAGGAGATGATGTTGGAGGTCAGGGCCAGACCCTGCCACTGGATCTCCTGACTTAATTAGAACAAGTTTTCCCAGGTTGCTATTAATAAATGTTATTGCTGGGTATGGCAGAAGTAATACATAAGAAGGTTGGCCAGGAAGAGACACCCTACCCCCGCCCACATTGCAATAAAACTACTACCGTCCGCCTGTCACTTACATTTTCTTCTCTTTAACTCCAACAGGGAGGTACCTCCTTCCAAACCCGGTGGCGGGACAGGCCTGGCCGGCCTCTGCAGAGACGTCCAACCTCGTGCGCATGCGCAGCCAGGCCCTGGGCCAGTCAGCGCCCTCGCTCACCGCCAGCCTGGTGAGTGTCCACGGGCGCCGGTGGAGGCTGCTCCAGCTCACCACCTCCCTAGGGACAGCTTAAGTTAATTTAGACTTACCCACATGTGACGGTAAACACAGATTTGGCAATGTGAAATTCCTTGTTTTCAATGTGCTAGTTTCTACACCTGTACCCAGTTTGGAGGATTTCTCTCCATTTTGGCCCCATCTTACGGAATAGTTGCAAGAATAAGAAAAATTCTTAGAATACCAGTTTATCCTTTATCTAGATTTGACTAACACCTGGCCCAATTAGCCTCATAATTTCCTTTCTCTTTATGTGTATGTGTATGTAGGTGTGTATGTGTACATACACACATGATTTTTTGAGCTATTTTAGAGTGCATTATCTATCACAGACCTTTGTTATCACCGTTAGCAACTTGAGTAAATTTATGGCTGATACAGTCCAATTATCTACTCTACCATCTATATTTCAGTCTTATCAGTTGACTCATTAATGTCCTTTACAGTATTTTCCCTCCTCCAGTGTAGGTTCCAGTGTAGGGTCATGTGTTGCATTAAATTATCCCTCTTTTTAGTCCCCTTTAATCTGGAATCTTTCTGCAGTGTTTATCTTTTATGACATTGACATTTTTGAAGAATTTTTTAATGGCTTATTTTTAAGGGAATATTTCTCATGTTTCTTTGTTTTCTCCTCATGGTGAGATTCAGGATTTTGCATTCCAGGTAAGAATATGACACTGGTGTTGTCATGTCCTCTCAGGGAATGAGGTTTGGAGGCTCATCACGTCCGTCTGCCCCTCTGTGTGATATTAATTTTGATCATCCAGTCAGAGTGTTGTCTGAATTCTCCACTGTAGTTACCACTTCCTCTCTGCAATCTATGAGCAACCTGGGAGGTACCCTCAAGCAATGCAAATATGCATTTCATCAAAATTTTCCCCAAGAATCCATTGGTGATTCTTGCCTGGACCATTCTTTTCTATGTTTGAAAATGGTGATTTTTCCAACTTCACTCTCCACAAATATGTGTGTATTTGTTAGCAGCATGGACTGCACATTTCTATTTTATCCCCAATGTAGATCTTTATATTTAATATGATTATTAGAATTTTTTTTTTTTAATTTGCTGGTGGGCCTTTCTTTGTTTTGGCCTTTGGCTCAGCTTAGAAGTCTGTACAAGTTACTTTTGCATCAGTAGTAGGGTTCTATGATATGGAAATAGATTTTACACATTGTTTATTGATGAAGGTACAAATGATTTATAAATCTGTGTATTGTGTCTTACAATTTTATGCATTGATAATAAATTCTGCTGGATATTTGGAAATAATGCAATAATGGACAGAGATTTTGTTTCGGTGTAGCCTCTAGTCCTGCTTTTGCCATTAGATAGCTGTGTAAACTTGGACCAGTCCATTTCTCAAATTCTGTCACCTCATTTATCCTCCTAGAAAAGAAGAATCAGGAAATTCCAGATAAGAAAGGGACTTTATAGATTGTTTAATGCCTCTTACTGATGTTTGCGGAGGTGCGTTGTACAGTAGGACATTCCTCATGCTGATGATCCTCTACCCCATTGCCCCTGTCTCAGAGCTGTAAGCCATCCTTCTCCCAACTCTGCCTGACATGTATCATGGCACACCTTTGCTTTTGTTCTTTGTTTATGCCGATTATCTCTCTGCTAGACTGCAAACCCCTTGAGGGCAGATTCTTGTCTGATTTTTACTTTCTAGTTTTCACTGCTCTCAGCACAATGCCTTGCATGTAGAAGGCATTCAATAAATAATGTTGAAGGAACAAGTAATTATTTATGGAAAAGTGACAGCTTCCTTTAGTTGCAAGGTGAGCACGATGGTGTGATTCTTCATGCTGTAATGGGTGGCCTAATAAGGTCATCCTTCTAAAATCTCTATGGCTTTGCTGGTCAGTGTGCATCTTACAATTGTGGTTGGCCTTAAAGTCCATGTTACAGGCTAAATCCCGTTTAGTTTGACATCGGCCATTCAAAAAATGTGACAAAATTAGTGAAGAGATTATTAGTGTCTACATTCAAGGAAATTTCATTAGTCTGCTTTTAAGCAATCACATAGTCACATTTGTTTGCGTATTTTGTGGATTCATTGAGTAAGTCAAAGTGATATGTGTGTTCAAGTGTGGGGGAATTGGAAAAACAAGGAACCAAATTGGGTTATGTCCAGATGATAGCATTACACTTGATGTAACAATTCTACACCCAATTACAACAACATACATTTCAGAAAAGTATAGACCCTCAACATGAGAGGTATTAATACGTTAGTAAGATATAAATGAAGGCCCTGAGGTTTGGTAGGTATGAATTTTAGTAAATGCATGACCTTTAGTGATTTAATGCCATAGGCAAGATTGAAGGTATTGCTAACTACCTTCTCAAGGAGGAGATTAATTCCTAGCCTGAAGTATCTAGTTTTCCTTGGCAATGCTAAATGTAGTTGTGTTCCCTCTCCCAGACACGTTGGGCATTTCAGATAAATGGCATGTTGCCAATTCATCCTAAGTAGCCTGGTAGCTGGCAGAATACATGCTCAGCCAGTGTCCGCCTGCTGGGACAGCAGCCGGGAGTGCTGATGAAGTGTCAGATGTATACTTCATATACATTAATCTGAAGAGGGGAAAACTCATTTTCCCATTTGCTTCCTCCATCTTTCTGTCCCTCCCCACACACATGGGTAGTTTATCACAGAAGTCATAGTCGTCAAAAGCCGGGGGATTTTTACAGATGCTGCTTTCTGCCAAGAAAGATGGAAATTTCAGGAGGCAAAATCAGGACCAGTGGCAACTTATTTCTTTGTAGGCAAATAAGATTGTAAGCCTTGATGACGGAAGTTTAAAATGGCTTTTGTGGCCATGATCAGAATTCTTTACTCCTTTTGTACTTTGAAGTAATAGATGGTAGAAGCACCATGAACATTAATTTCCTGGATTTTTCTCCAATTTTCTGTTTGGTTGGAATCCTATGCCTCATCCTTTTTGTGTGAAGATTTCATTCACATTCTTCCCATTGAGGTCTTCCTTGACCATCCTGTTTCAAACTTTTCCCTATATTGCTTGTCATATATCTCATTTCCTTCATTCATTTTTCTCCATAGTATATCACTGTCCAGTATACTATATAGGTTGCTTATTGTATTATATATCTCTTACTACTCTAATGTAAATTTCATGAAGGCAGAGATAATTCTGTTTTCCCCAGCCATTTCCCCAGTGCCTAGAATAGTGCCTGGCACGTAGTAGGTTGCTCATTGAACTTGTTGAATACCTAAACATATGTCTCCCTTCTGTACATTTTCAGAGCTCTAGAACAGACTCTTGTATATTTATGGTTTTGTTTTTAATCTGTGATGTTTTTTGTTTATATTATGTAGCCTTACCAAGAAGAAAGAAGAGAAATTAGCAATAAGAGAAATTATCAAGAAGCCAGAGAGAAATTAGCTATGTAAACTTTATTCAGGAATTAAGCTGTAATAGTTCAGTTAGAAAATGATGAGAATGAAAGGGAAAAGCAGAGTGGTTGAGAGCATGGGCTGCCCGAGCTCAACTCCAGCATGTACCATTTATTAGCCTCAGTTAGGGCTAACTGTGTGGACTTCAGTTTCTTCCTTTGTGAAGTGGGACTGATGGTTGTGATAACCTCATAAGGTTATTGTAAGGATTAAACGAGTGAACTCTTGTGCAGTACTTTGCATAGTGGTGCCTGTCACTGAAGAAATGCTGTCATTTTGTGTTTCCCAGAAACACAAAAAGTGTTTCTGGGAGGTTTTAAGATAGCTTTAGGTGGCTGGTATTACCCAAAAGGGAGGAAAACACACACTTTTCCCTTAGGTGATTTGAATTGAGGTAGGAGTTTAACCTTTTGTCCTTAGCTTGCATGAGGAGGGAGTAGCTTGTTTCTTTCTTTCTTATTTTTACTTAAAATGTGCCAACCAAACTGAAAGATCTAGAATTCTTAACTTTTTTGAAGGGACAAGGTGCTTTCAAATACTGTATTTTAACATTTAAATATTAGGTTAAGTGGTATAATTTTATGTTTCTTCAGTGGCTGTCTTTTGACATCACATACATTTCTTTTAATGGAAAAATTATATTTCATGATGTTCTATAAATATTAAAACCAAACTATTTAAACTGTAATATATTCAAAGAGCCTTGATGAATATTCATCTTTTCCATTTGCAAAAAAAAAAATGCATTATAAGAAGTCAAGGAAAATTCACTAAATGTATGCAAAAGTGTATTTTTCCTTTTTAATTCATTCAGAATGTGGAGACATAATGTCAGCATTTATTTAGGATACAGACTTTATTTGCAGTCATTTAATATTATATCAATACTTCATTAGTCTTATAGCTCAAAAACAGAAACCTGATCCGAAGTCCAATTAGTTAACTCTGAGAGAGTATCTGTTAAATATAGATGTAAGAACAATTTGAATGACCTTGAATAAATTGCTCAACAAAGGTTGTGGAATTTATCTATGAATTAACATTTCTCTATTGCCATTGTGACTCAATTTAAAGGCTGCATAATATTCCAATATATTGATTTATCATAATTTATTAAACTGTCTCCCCCTTTAGGTTATTTTCAAGTTTTTCCTACTGCAAATAATGGTGATGAGTAGATTTTAAATATGCTCTTATTTGCCTCTAATGATTACATTAGGTAGATTCTTGGAGTGGGATTACTGGGGCAAAGAATATCAGCATTGTTGAGGTTCTCCATAGCTCTTGCTAAGATGTTTCTAGGAATGCCATACAAATTTATCTTTTAGAATGGCAAAGTTCATCTTACTATACCCTGGTCAGCAGTCAATATTGTCATCATTAAAACCTTGCTGGTTTGGTTATAAAATAATTATTATTTTAAATTTATGCTTCAGTGAAATCGATATGGTTATTGGACCTGTTGAAGTCTTACGCTAAAGCCAGTAGATAAAGCAAATGTGAAATTAGGGTTATCTGTGCTGCCTCCTGT